AAAGGTTTACTTGGTTTATCTGGAAAGCATGAAGGGTGAACTCTAAAAAGATCTCAGCAAATATAGATGTATGAACCCATAATCCACGTTTACAGGCAAACCTTGCTGTTATACCCTCAGTTTCCACTGCATTTTATTTAAACTTGAATCCGTTCAGTTCACTTCTGTGAGTTGGATGAATGTTTCTTTTCCTCTGTTGCCAGTTTCAAAGCTCTAAAATCTCCAACATCGCTGTTATCTTGGCTCAGAATTAACGTCTAACATAAGTCTGCTTTTTTCTGAAGCTGCAGGTTTCCCGTTAAGCTATTCATTAGTTCACAGAGCCTGTCGTGCAGCAGGCCTAATGCAAACACACTGTGTGCATGTGTGCGACTCTAAACCAAAAAGACTTGGAGGGAAGAAGTGACTCAAATATAGTAGTGAGGCCTGTGCCAGCTCGTGTTTGTGTACTCTTTGCTTCAAAGCGGCCTGGTACTTGCGGTCACTTTGAAAGGCATGAATAACACTGACCAAACCAAAGTGACCACGGTTCATTCTGTCCTGGCCGAAAGGGCGAGTCCCAAATGCCAGGAATTAACGCTCTGCCCCATTTTGTTTTCTTTTGCTCTTCACATCTGCAACTTTATGGAAGCCTCGTCTGGAGAGATAAAGGGGAGAGGAGTGAGAGGAGATGAAGAGGCGGAGGTGAAAGAACAAACAGGGAGTTAAAGAGGAGAGAGAGGGAAAAAAATGTGCCCGAGTGCCCTCAAAACCATACAAACCCAGCATAAATGAAAAATGACATTCCTGCGAGACAGAAGTGGTGGAACAGAGCGAGGACTGTCATCAGAGGGAGCAGTCTGGGATGACAGATGGACTGCAGGCAGGACGGGCGTTGATGGATTGAGAGTGGACAGAAAATGAGAGGAGTGCGAGTGTGAGTGTACACACAGCTGCAGAGGGTGGACTCAGACCTCATCATCTCCGGTGGAACCACCAAATAAACAGGACGGAGTTATTTTCAAATCCTCCATCGCCGTCTCACACCGACACAAACTGGAGAGCTCGAACACGACAAGAAACACATCAGGATTGAGAGGAGGGAGCTCAGATTATTGAGATTACTTACTCCACCACCTCCTCCCCTGGGGTTAGCGACTCGTCGTGTACAGAAGAGACGATCGAGTCGGGCGTGGCCTTATCTGTAACAGCGTAATTACCTAAAAATGTCCGGTGTCTGTGGGCTGCTGTCTGCATGAGTGAGTGAGTGTGGGCACGCACATGCAAACCAGAGAAAGGGGAGACATAAAGGCCTTTTCCGTTAATTAGACTAGAAATCCTTAAATAAAAACTAATGATAACAAAAAACAAGGAAAACAAGCTGGAAACATCACTTTAAGACCTGAAAAAAGTCAATGTACTCACAAAAATACTCCTAACTGACCAAGTGATGCTACCCATCTCACAAAATCAGCAGACTTTCATTTTTAATATCATGTAAATGAAGAAATATTATCCATTTATCGAGTGCAGTTAGTTTTTTTAAATGGTCACTCATTCAGTGCAGGAGTATCTGACTCTCTGGTCTTTGGGAGTTTGAATTTAGGTGGGCGGGCTAGTTAAAGCCATGCATAAAAGCCACACGGCTTCCATTCTTGCAGTGCAGGGGTCTCGAACTTCAATGAGCTGTGAGCCACTGCTGGCACGGTCACCTCATTGTTCATGCAGTACAAAAAGACCCCAAACAAACAAGAAAACTCCCACAAATATTTCCAAAAATCTAGTGTTTTGTTTTTTGTTAATTTTTAAAATATTGTGTAACAACACAAAACTGCAAACTCATTCTTAACTAACTGAAGCTTTTCATTGAACTACTAAATAAACCAATGGCTACTCTTTCTGGCCAGACACGTGGCAGCACTTCTGCTATAAATTTGTTTGTATTTAACAAAATAAAAATGCAGACACAAGTGCACACGTTAGTTTTGGACTCTCTCACTGAACTAACACGGCCAATCCCTCAGCATGTTTGTGCTCTCTGCTCATGTTGCCTTCATATTAAATCATTTTTCACTTTTAAAGACTTTATTTTAACATTGCACAAAACATTGTAACAAAATAAAGTTACTTCTGGGGCCAAATTGCATTACATTTCTTCAGGTCAATATAAGGGCCGCAAGTAGGGGTGACGTGGGCCGCAAGTGGCCCCTGGGCCACAAGTTTAAGACCCCTGTTGTAGTGTAAAGAGGTATTTTGGGAGCAGATTTAATAAACTGCCCATTTACAGATCAAATGATCAGAGTACTCCAGCGCCCCCCGCGACCCTGAAAAGGGGAAGCGGAAGCGAATGGATGGATGGATGGATGGATGGATGGATGGATGGATGGATGGATGATCAGAGTACTCTTGCCCTTAACAACAGTATGGCTCTTATTTCTTTATGACCAGAGCTATGAGAGAGTCCTGGCACTCAAACATCCCAGCTCAGTTGTGCAGTGGGGCAGATCTGGTGCTAGCAGAATAACCTCCAACTAAAACCTTATTTTGGGGCAGCTTTTAAATCAGGTTCATCCAGTGATCATAAACGTGAAACCTTTATGTACGGATGATCATTAAAGATCATTTAGATGTTTAATGCTTTAAATAAGTGAACACACACATATTAGTGTTGCTTCTAGGACTTTGGATAAGATTTAAATACC